AAAGAAAACTCGGAAATAAAATATGACTGGCCAGAGCACATGGGACAGCGCACACATAAAATTCGGGTAGCTGGGGGTTAAGCATTTTCGGGAAAACGTTTAGTGCTCGATGCGCCATAAACATCTGGATTTAACTGGCTGACCAGAAAAGAAACAGAACGAAGAATAAAAATGGTTCTAGAAAAGACTTGAATATGTTTTTCAGATTTTTAACGAAACATTTATTTTTTAAAGAGCTTTTGCTGTAATTGGCATAAAAAGGACGCACAGCTAAAAAGCAAACGGCTGACTACATAACTATTGGTCAGCATCGATTTCTAAAGAATAAATTTGTATATACATTTTGCCCTTATTATATCAAGTATATATATTTTATGAGCAAAAGAGATTTTATTCAAATTCATTTAAACTAAAAGAAGTTAAGTTTGTATTTATTTTGTTTTTTATGAACATTTTAAAATAAAACTTACGTGAAAGCCTTATAAATTTAAGAGAAATATCATAGCGGGATACTTAACGACTCCTTATGTGATTTCGATGTAACGTTGTTAATGGTTTTAATTGGCGTTGCTGTTTCTGTAGATAAACCCTCCCACTTGAAGGACACTTGTCAGCAACTCCCTGACCGGATGCTCTTTACTGGTCAGTTGCAGTGACCCTCGGTCGTTGCCCCATATTCGTGCTAAAAAATTAATAAAAAAAAAGAAATTCAGAATGAAAAACGAAAAACCATCAGCAAGTATGAAACCGAAACCGAAACCGTTCCCGACCGGAGGCTGCTCCACTCGAGCTGCGCTTTTTCAACTTTGTTCGCGGACTCTTTTATGACGGTGATGAGGATGAACTGACCACCGGCTGCTCCCTGGCTAGTTGGGTTCGCACTACTTGAAATGAAACCGCAACTTAATAATTTTTGCTTCTGCGGCAATTAAAAATTTTTACCTTATTTGCTCCAGTTTTGCAGCGTTTTTATGTTTGTGCTTTTGGTGGAGTGGAGCCAGGACTTGTTATCTGTTTCAGTTGTTGCCTCAGTGCAACATTTTGTGCATGGTCATTTACTTTTCGCCCTCAGCCGCTTCACTCCGCCAAGTTGCGATGTTACTAATTAAAAACGCAAATGGGTTTATGATGTTGCACAAGTTGCGGTTGCCTTGCGGGGGTATTATTTTTTACTGCTGTCGCTGCGAAATTGTAACATGACAAAAAAGCTGAAAAGAAGTTATAAAGAAAAGCATAAAAAGAGAGCGTGGCATTAAAACAAATTTTTGCTCGCTTTTTTTTCGGGACAAATACAAAACAAGTCCTGCTGGGCTCCCTGGGTTTTCCAGCTTTTCCCCCTTGCGGTTGCTTGCGGCTGCTCCTTTGTTGGGTTTTCCGGCCCAACTCAACCCCCTAACTTGCCAAAAAGGTCTCCTTTCTCCGTGCTCCTGGACCTTTTCCGACCATATCGCCATCCATCTCGGTGGTCTTCTTGCCGGGAACTGCGGACTCCTCCGCGCTTTTCACGCTTTTCACATTGCTCTGGCATGTTTTGTGTTTTATTAGCGTGAAAATTTTTCAAAGGTGTCAGCACTTTTTACGTTCTTCTTTTTGTCGTTTTTGTTCTTCGTTTGTTTTTCGCTTGTTTTAAGCATTTCTAAGAAGTGGGTGACTTTTTTTTAAATACTTTGTGAAATTTATACTTGTCACAGCACAAATAAGATGTTAAGTGCCGCACAAAGTTGTAAATGTATTCCTGGAAATCCTGGAGTCAGCTTATCATAAATGATTTTAGTTTCTAATTTCCAGCTTAAAATATGTAATAAATTATTTTCGGTAACTCTTTGGTTAATCCCCAGCAAAAAGGGGAATATTGTTAGCCGTTAGTTTCTCATTAAAGATTCTTCCATCGGCAATTCCCTTAATGGCCAGCAGCCCTTAGTCCCAAGGCCAAAACCAAACCCAAGCGAACCGAGCTGACCGGAAATCCCCAACAGCACGAGCCGCCCCCCGGCCACGCCCCCGGCCTGCCATTGTGTAATATCCGTTGACTATTATTCTAATTCATGCTGAAAATTAAAAAGCTGCCTATGAGCCCCTGACCAACCCCAATCCCCTTGCCGACTTGTTTTTGTGCCGGTTCAGCGAAAATTTCATGCAAAATAAAACCCAAAAAAAGGAAGAGACAAACCGAAAACGCCTTTTTGAATAGACGATGGCATTATGTTGTTTTTGGGGGGGTTTTGCCATCCTTTCCCAGTTTTTGTATTCAAAATAAAGCGACCGCATCAACGAAATATGAAATAGCACAAAAATAATATTCAGTCTGTGTATGGAAATATGAAAAAAAAATTAACATATAAATTAGCAAAGCAGACAAAATGCGAAGGGGCGAAGGTTTTTAAGGGAAAGACTTCTTTTGTTTTGAAAACAATTTTCGTGGCATAAATTTACGGCTGGCAATTAAAAATATTTTGTAATTCCTCTTAGCTGAAAAAGGGTTGAATAAAAATAGAGCGAAAAACTTTTATCAAATGTGATACAATGTTTAAAACAATAGAATTAAGGGAGATTGCAAAGGGGGCTCAAATGATTTTCGGCTAAACTTTCGTCCAGAAATGGGAATTTTTATATAATGATTTGCTATTTATGGGCTTTGTCTAGTTTTTGAGTTAATATACAAATAAAAAACATTTAAATTAATCTTTGACCTTATAATTATGACCATTTTTCACATAAACAATGGAAAGGCAACATTTATTTAATTGGTTCTCGCCAATTCACAACGTTATCGAAGCCCATTGAACTCTGATCTTGTTGCACCTTAAATTTAAAGCGATAACCGCACATCCTTGGCAACTTTCTGGCTTCCCGTTGTCCTTAACTCTGTATCCACATATTTACGGCCGCAACAATGTGCGCCTTGTGAAACAATTTATAACTTTTGCGCTTTTGCCTAATAAGTTGGCATGTTGTGGCCAATAAGTTGCGGCAACAGCAGCGGACATGCAGCGGAACTCGTTTCGAAACTAAATTACAAGTACAGCAGCAACAACAGCCGCCGGCGGAGGGGGATAGATGCCTCATGCCACCACCCACTTTCAGCCCCCTTCGTCCTTGCACACCGATGCACATCTTGCCAACAAGTTGAGCGTGTTGTTGTTGCCTTAACTACTGTTAATTCTTCTAATTGTGTGTACGTTGTTTGCGTGCGCTAATGTCGCATATGCACAAGCAGCAACAACATCAACAACATCAGCTGGAGGCATCCTGCAGGAGGACAGGAGGGCTGGAGGGCAAGAGGGCAGGAGCGGCATGCAAATGTGCAACTGTTTATGCCAGAGCCAACTCGGTTTCTCCCGCTGGAACATCTGGCGATGGGTTCGTGAACAAAGCAACCAAACTAGCCAGAACATCCTCAAAATAATAATTCAATAATTCCAAAAAATCAATCTAAGTTGAGAATACGTATAAATAAAATGTCTTTTCATATCTTCAAAATTTTGAAAACCCAAATATATTATGATAATATTGTTAAAAGAAAATTTTCAAACATATATAAAGTTTCGAAAAAGAATGAAAAAAGAACCCACTTTACTGCCCAGTTTTAAAATTATTATGGTTTGTTTAAAACTTACAAAACCAATTTTGGCAATGTAATTATAAACGAATTAAATTTTAGAAAATTAAAAAAAAAAGCTGGAGTTAAAGACTATTGTTTATTCATTCTGGGACCTGGCTTCGTGTCACGAAATCAGCATCACCAGTTCGCTTATGTTTTTTGCGGAGTGTCGCAACGCTTGACAACTTTCATAGTGCCAGGAGAAGGGGTGTAAAAGGGGGGCTGTGGGGCCAGGGAGATCCTGCCCCTTATTAGCGCAAAACGCTGCACGTTGAGAGCGTGTTTTGGGGCATGTGTGCGTGAGCCCATGTTTTTGTTATTGTTGTTAAATGTAATTAAATTATGCAGATGAGTGCCATGCGCTCCCTCTGCAGCTTCAAATCTGCCGCATTAACTAAACTGCCATGGAAAAGTGTTTTTAGGTATTTGCATTTGACACCGACAAACAGTTGCCTGGTGCTCCAGTTTTCCCAAGTGCTGGTGTCCGGAATCGTTAGCAGATTGCTGAAAAGCTCCTGCAAAATTTTAGAAAAATAAAAATAGAAACTGGAAAAAAAAAGGATTACCAGTTGGCAGCGGTGGGATTCGAACCCACGCCTCCGAGGAGACTGGTGCCTTAAACCAGCGCCTTAGACCGCTCGGCCACGCTACCCGTTAGAACACTATCGAAAAATTCTTATTTAAAAAGAAACAGCATGCTAAATTCAATACTTACCCAGATAACAAATACAGCGAATTATATTAATGTATCTAATCCATCCACACACAAATTAAAAACAAATGTATATTTTATTGTTAAGTTTGTTCTTTATTTGATTTTATCCTCTAGTTCTTGAACACTGTTGAATTTTCCATTTTCTTCGCATTTGCGTATATGCATTACATTGAGAGAATTCCTTGCATGACTTTTCCTTGCTTCACTTTTTCTTTTAATGATACGATTAGATGCTGATCCACAAATTTGGTTTGTTTTAGGCTAAACTCTATGTCTTGTTTATATACTTATACCATTTCATCTGGTTTCACTTGTTTAACTATGCTTGTCCCTTGTAATTTGCTTAAATTGTAGTTCAAATTGATTTAATTTATTTATAGTTGTGTTTTCGTATAACTAGATGAAAGATCTGCTTCGTTATGAAATATGAATATGAAATTTGCATTTGAATAAATTTTCAATTACATATGGTAATCTTTGTTTTTTTTTATTTATTTGTAAGTTACTTTTAACTCCCTTGTATTGGTTTTGCAATTTGTTCCATTAAATTGTTAAATATGTACAATCGATCAAAAGTGTGGCCGACTCGTTGCAGTGAAAAAGGAAAACAAAACGAATTCTGAAAAAAGGACTTCAGCCAAGGCTGGAAAAATAATAAATACAAAATGAAAACAACGTAAAATGTATGTTTTTTTTCGAGCATAGTTACTTTTTTTATTTACACGTATAATTCGTATATATAGATTTACTTTGTATTTGTTTATATTGCATAAATTGCTTATTCATATTTGTGAATGCGGCGTAGATTCTACATGAATATTGCGAAGTTTTCAATAGTTTTTGCTATTCTCATTTTACATTGTGTAAACATCTTCTTTGTTTATTATTCCGATGAGTAGTTTATTCTTTACTGAGTCTATTAACTATAAAAAATCTGTTGTGTTCTATTTTAGTTTTTGCATATTTATTTCCATTTTGTTTTAGGCTTTTTCTTTTATTGTTGGAATATTTTTGTGAAAGCGTTAGGCTAAATACATACATAGTTTTAATGACTGGTGCTTAAGCGCTTAGCTTATTTTTTATTTTATAAAGTAAAATTATTTGTTTGCTTAGTTTTTTTTTTTTTGTGTTGTTTTGAAATTTTATTGATTTTTGCCTTTTGCGCCTATAAAGAAGCTTCTAATTATGTACAATAATAGAAATGCTTTTAAGCATAACTTAATAATTAAGATCACTGTATGCAAATGAAATGGCCGTGCAGCAGGTTGGTCGACAGTATTCTAGTAACTTGACCAACCCACAATGCCAGCCAAATTGTGCGCAAGATTTCCTTATATACACTTGGGTTTTTCCTGCGCTTTTCCCTCTCAACAACCTCTCGAACTAAATCCTAATTTATACAAAATGCTTTCGCTTGAATACACGTAACGTAGGAATATACAACTAGATTATGAATATTCAGGATTGCTCTGATTTTCGGTCTTTGGTAAGAATTGGCGGGAGTAAGTTTAAATATGTCAAATTAATTAAAAACCATACACCGATAAGACGATTCAAAGTGACTTTTACTTCCGCCGACTCTTTCCGAAAGTGAAAATCAAAGCTGGCCCGATTAAATTAGATCGATTCCCTCTTCCTCCTGTAATTCCTCCTTAACCCTTGTAGAAGTAATGCAGCTCAATATCCGGATCCGGCCTGGTTTTGATGATGGTGCGGCCCAAAGTGCCGCACGTCTTGGCCGGATATCAGTGGTACCGCCTCAGGCTCCCGTTGTTGTTGCCCACTGTACCGCCGACTGCCACGCCCACCACGCCACCAACCCCATGATGATTGTTGTTCGAGAGGGTGGACACATTGTTGTTGTTGTTGTTGAAGGATCTGCGTCCGGTGGTGTTGCCATGGATCATGGCCATGCCCACTCCATTCCGCAGCGGCAGGGCGGGGGGCGGTGGTGTGGGCGTGGGACTGGGTGGCAAATCATGATCCAACGGCAGCGAGTAGTGTGAATTATTGTGGATATATCCCGGCTCAGACATCGCATCGCATGGCTTCGCATAGACCCCACCATAGTGGTGGTTGTGGTGGCTCTGGTTCTGGTTCTGATTCTGGTTGTGGTTGAAGTGGTCCTGGGTCAGTCGGATCCCGTTGGCAAGTGGCTGGCTGTAGTGCGACAGGGTGCTCTCCTGCACCACCGGTGATCGGTGGCGCGGCAGCGAGGTAGCATTCAGTGGCTTGCCACCGTTGCAGGCCAACAGCCGCATGTCCTGCTGCGAGTGGTGCATTTTCGAGGTCGCCGGCTGCTGCTGCTGCTGGCCATTGTTCGTCATGTAGTGGATGTGGCTGAGTTGGGCGAAGGAGTTGGAGGCCTGGTCCACGGCACTGGGCACCTGCAGTTGCTGCACCGCCCCGCTGGCGGTGCTGGCGCCACCACCACCACCACCCCGACCCCGCAACTGAGGCGGGGGTGGTGCTTCTAGCTATAGCTCGGTGACCGGTATCGGCCGACTGCTTCCGCCCATATAGGGATATCCACCTGCTGCCGGATGAACACCTCCACAGCCGGGTGGCGGCCTGGCCATATACTCCTCGTCGGAGAAGGTCTTCTGGTACTCACGCTCCTTTCTTCCCAGCGCCGAGTGGCCCTTCAGCATCTCCCGAATCCTGCGGCGACAGGTGTAGAGCACCAGGGCCAGGGTCGTAATCAGAGCGGCACAGGCCACCACCAGGATGCCAATGATGGCCTGCTTGCTGGCCGCACCATGGGCACAGCCCAAAAGTGGCTCGGCCAACTGGGCCAGGGGCAAATCCCGCAGAGCAGTGGGATAGGCACACACCACCGGGCCATACTGACCACTCGCATTCCGGCTGACCAGCAGATGACGCAGCCACAACAGCCGGCAATCGCATTCGAAGGGATTCTCCGAGAGATCCAGAGTCTGGAGATCGGCCCACGGCACTAGACCCTCGTCCAGGCTGCTCAATTGATTGGCCTTCAGCACCACAGTACTCAAATGGGGCAAGCCACCCAATGCGATGGCGGGTAGCTCACTCAAGTGCTTGTTACTGGACAGATTCAGGTGCTCCAAGTTGGTGTTTCCACCGAAGGCACCGCTCTCCACGCGCCTCAATCGCTGGGCACCTGTCAGCTCCAGGTGCCTCAGTTCCCGCAGACCCGAAAAGGCCCCCGTGGAGATGACCTCAAAGTCGTTCTGGCCAATGTTCAGCTGTTCCAGGCGTCCCAATCTCTGGAGTGCTGCCGTGGGAATCGCAGCCAGGCGATTATCCGACAGATCCAAGTAGCGCAGAGCCTCCAGACCTTTGAGGGCCTCTGCCGAGATGTTGTGCAGGCCAGCTCCACGCAGATCCAAGCGGGTCAGTCCCTTGAGATCCTCGAAGGCTCCGCCGGGAATGGTCATGAAGGAGTTGGTGCCCAAGTAAAGCTCCGCCAAGGTGGGCAGTGCCTGGAAGGTTATTTCCCCGGGCACTGTGGTAAGGGTATTATCATCCAAATAGAGAACCCTTAGGTTAACCAATCCATCCAAGGCATGTGGATCGATGTGACTGATGCGATTCTGGCCAAGATTCAGCTCCGCCAGCTTGCCCATGGGCGAAAAAGTGCGGTACTCCAGTTCGGCAATCAAGTTGCCCCTCAGATTCAAAACACTGATGGTGGAGAGTCCCAGGAAGGTTCTATTCGACACCTGGCCAATCTTGTTGTGATCCAGGTGCAGTTCCTGCAATTTAGCATGATACCCAAATGATCGCTCCGGTATGGTAACCATGTCGTTGAATGACAGATCCAAAAAGGTTAACTGCGCATAGAACTGCATGGATGAGTCGATGGTCTTCAGCTTGTTGTTCTTGATCACCAGTCGCTGGATGGCGGGATTGAGGGCGATGGGCAGGACGTCCAATGTGCCCTCACCGCATTTAACCATCAGGGTGTCGTCGTCGCATTCGCAGCCATTCGGGCAGTTGGCCAATCCCTGGGCCACTTGCAGAATGGCCAGGACCACGAATAGGCCAAGAGCCTGGCCAAGATGGTGGGCCAACGACATGGTAATTGCCCGTCGTCTGCTCATTACACGCTCGCTGTCTTCTGCACTTTTTGCACTCGTCGCTTCGTTCTGCTGCTCTCCTTTTCCACGTTAACTACGTTCTGGCCAAGTTCGCCAATGGCTTCCCAGTCCAGACTCCGGCATTCGCCTGCAAATAGGGGAGACAAACAAAAAAGGTGCGGGGTTAGTTGGCAGCGCTTTAAATTGATTTTCCATTAGAGTTCAAAATTGCTTGGCTTTTGGATTTCCATTGGATTTGGCAGCTGCAGAGCAATCGCATTGCCCCCGTCGGGAGTTAATCGGTAGTTTTGTGGATTACTCCCAGCCCTCCCCCGAAATGCTGCCTCCATTTGGCTGTCGGGCAGTAAACAAATGAAGACAATTTAAATGGCCACGGCCTGGACATTAGGAACGGAATTAGCGGATGGCTAAAAGCAAATGGAAGTTGTTGCAAGTTTCACTTTAACAGTTGCCCGCCAGTCTGTTTCAGACTTAATGGTTGTTATCTGGGAACTCTGGGGATGGGTTATCGATTGAACGGAATAGGATGGAAGCAGATTGCCATGGACTAAACTATTTCCCCAGAAATTCTTCATTAAATCTGTTTGCGGCGCTTCAGGATTTACTATAGTAAACTCTGGTTCCCTTTAAAATAATTGCTTTGGAGTTTTTGAATGTTTTTCAGCTAAAAGTTATAAATTCCAGCACAAAAAATACAAGTTTTTTTAACTGCATGTTTTAATCTTTTATATACCAGAACTTTAGTAAAAATGTTAGGAGTAAAATCCGCTTTGGATTCCCCTTTAATTTCCTTTTGAAATTGCTTTAATTATACTGGTATATTTGGAACTTTTCTAGCCGAACTTGTCTTTGAAGACCCAAGTAAAGTCAGTTTTTTACCCCATCCCAAGTCGGCACACATGTCAGACAATGGGCCGACCCCAGCAACCCTTTGTGTCAACTGGCAGGTCCCCAAAGTCAGACCCTGGCCCCAAAACGCAACCCCTCCATCCTTTTGGATACCACTCCCCAATGGATCCCCGGACAGGCCAAAGATATGCCGCATAGTTGGGGCCAAACTTAAAAAACAACTTGCACTTTGTTTGCTTTGGGGACATTTATCAGCTTCGGGGCTGATGGGGCAGGAAAGGGGGGGAGGAGGGGTTGGGATCTGGGGACAACTGGCAAAACAAAACTTAATTTAGCGCGGCAACTGCGAGAAGTTCAAGGATGGGGCCCAGAAAAAGGATATCGGCACTGGGCTCCCCAAACGGGCCATAAAATAAATAAAACAAAAGCGAAATTCTCTTTTTTCCTTTGTTGTTTTATTTTTTTTTTCTCTTTTTACTGAGAGATGGGGTTGAAAAGACAAAGGCTGTATCGTCCCCCCCTTTTCATATTTTTCAACTTTTACGCAGCGTGGGCGTGGCTGGGCCCCAAAGGCGCTATGAAAATAATCATAGATGTGGGTCAGACTTCAGAGCAGAGGAGTGCTGTCTTCACCACGCCAAAGGATATAACTTCCATCCTCTGAACGCCGAAACTCTCGCTTTTTATTATGTAAATATCACATAAACACCCGGGAGCTGCCATCATATGAAACAGGGCCGCAAAAAATGGCACTCGTGGAGGGTCCTTCCTGGCTTTATCCCGGTCCCAGTTCCATACTCCTCATCATTATCATGCATATGCCATAAAGCAACTTGTTGAGACTGGGACTCCGCCTCGAAGAACAAACAACCGACAACATTTTCGGGCGAATAAAAACAAAAACTGAGAAGTTTTTCCTTTGTGCGTTCAGCACAGCTGCTTGGAATGCATATGGGTGATGGGATGGGGAAAATCATATTTAAATTGCTAAAATCCTGTTAAATGGCCAACGCGATACCGTAGGCCTGGTTTTCAATGAGCTTGCAGCCACGACCTGTCGAGAAGTTATCAGTTGGGTTAGGACGGGTCGGGTTTTTATTTCGCACCGAAGGCGATGAATTGAGGTGAAAAATGGGGAGTGAAAAATGTAAGGCAGTTCCTGATGGCCTACACCTAATTCAGAATAATAGATGGCTCGTAAGGCACAACTTAATGGTATTTTATGGCTTCTTCTGGGATGTTTATGCTATTTTCGCTTGCCTTAACATTCAAAACAACTTCAATAAGCAACTTCAATGCAGCATGGATACATATAAATACATTATTTGATAAAATACTATACAAAACGATTTACAAATTATTTGGCTTATAGAAATCTGTTATGTTTCACTATAATGATAGGTTCTTCAAACTTTTTTTATCTCCCAGTACTTTTTTCCTTTAAGGGTACTACTTCTTATACCATTTGGGAATTATTAACTGTATCGCTTCTTTCTGCAAACTTTTTCATTTCTTTATTTACTTTTTTATGGAATGCCGTGTTATAAATCAATTTTATATTGACATATCTGTATTGTTTGCAATACCAAAATGTGAAGTCGATCGCTTAACTTTCCCCAGAGTGCAGCTATTTAAATTGTCACCCACACGAAAGTTTTCCCCCCTTTTCCTTTTGGACCTTTCAATCCCCATCCATTGAAAGTATGCTCTTAATATTTTATGGTCTGGCGCTGAGATTTTATTTGGTAGCCTTTGTTGCCTTTTTAGGACATTTTTATTTGGTTTGCTGCTGTTGCTGAACTCATTTATTAGTTCCGCTCGTGTCCGACTTGCACTTTTTGACCCGCCTCGGTCACTATTCCCCTCCTGCTGACTATATCTTTTCGGCCATTGTTGCAAAATGTTTGCCTGTCGGTTGAACTCTATACAGTGAAAAAATATTGCAAAATTTTTGGTTTTGTTTTGGTAGATATTTCGATATTTATTGAAATTTGTCATTGCGAATACGATCTGATATTTTATTCACTGATATCATTTTAGTTTCTCCATTTTAATTGTAGTGTTATTTAGTTTATATTCCTGCCGATAGCTCTTGCTAATAATATTATGATTCGAAAATGTAAGTTTATTTTGGGAATTAATAACATAGATTTTGGACTAGAAATAGCAATGATTTTTCCTTGTGTGACTGTGAGTCCAACAGCCTTGCGGCCATGGCCCAAAAAAAAGGAGGGGTGTAGTAAGAGGTGTGGTGGGTGGACAAAGCTCTTTTTATTGTATCTGTCTGGTGCCGTTTTCTGTTCCGTCTTTTGTCGGTTTTTGGTCCCCGGATTTTGGTTTTGCCTTTGCTTTGGCCCAGCACTATGACTTCCGCTTCACTTCCCCGCCCACCATTCGGCAACCCTCTTTTAACACTTTCTGCTGTTGCTTTTTGTTTAGTCTAGGGATTTTTTTTTTTGCTTTTTGAAAATTTGCCAGCACACAAAAAAAGAATCATTTGCCACAACTTTTCTGTTGCAGTTGGTGGAAATTGCTAAATAAATGCATGTTTCTGATTTAATGGTAGAGAAAGGGGGGAAATGGAAAAGAGCGGGGGAATGTTGGCAAGTACAGTTGTGCCCGTAGCGAACTCACTTTTCTCTTTTTATCTGTTGCGGGCAAAAAGTTTGACGGTGCTTAAAAATAGCATTGGAATCGACTGGTCCAAATTGGTTTCCAGGTTTCAGCTGTCCTGCTCCAATTTACATCGTTTTTTTTGTTTTTACTGCCCTCCCCTCGCCATCAAAAAAAGAAACAAACTTGCTCAACTCAAGCCATCAACGTCGGCAATAAACTTCAACTTTGCCTGTTTGCCAAATGTTTAATATTTCAAAGTAACGCCAGCCAATATCCTAAAACCTTAAACCAGAAACCCCCAAAGGCCCCAAGACCCCCCCACCCCCTCCCACACCCCTTTCCCACTGGTTCACCCCTTCCCTGGGCGTTATTTATATGACAATTTCGCTTGAGCGCGCGTTAAAATATCGCCGACAATATTTTATGCTCAATGCCTTGGCTCATGTTTTGCCAACAGCCAAGTCCTGCCCCGCCCCCTTATCCGTATGCTATGATAAACTTGGCAAATTTATCCTGCTTTGTGCCATACGTCTTTTGGCACAGTTTCCGCTCAAGACCGCTTCAGCATCCACCAACTCCCCCCTTCGACGCCCCCTCCCAATATATTTGCACTATTTGCACAGTTTACAGTTACAGTTTTTTAGCTTCTACTTCGAGATACTTTTTGTATGCATCTACGAGATACTTTTTCCTGCCAGTGCGGGCAGACCAAATATTTGCCATTGCAAGGAGACAAAACAAAGACTTGCCAGACTCACGCACAGCCAGCTCCAATTGGGAAGCGGTATTTGAGGCACCACCGAACTACCAAACCACCCCAGCACCACCCACCACCCATCACCCACTACCCCACCCATCCAATCACCCAGCAACTTTTCCGACTTAAGCTGAAGCTGAAGCTGAAGGCTGTGTGCCAGTGAAAGTCGCCGCGGCAACAGCCACTCGTCTGTGAAATAGAAAACGAAACAATAGATGGGTGGTTTCAGTATTTCGAGTGGGTGGGTGGGGTCTTCGGAACCGCTTCCAGAGAGTGGCCGCCAGGGGGCGCTTGGCAATTGCGCATCGTCACACATGTTACTTCAATTTTCAGTAATGGTAATCGGGCACAAGTTTGCCCCACTCCCACTCCCCCTCCCACTACTACTCCCACTTCCAATCCTCCTCCAATCGGCAATCGAATCGGGCTTGGGCTTGTATTTCGATTCGGAATTTGGCGCACGAATTGAACGCTTTCTGGATCCCTCTATTTCTGCAGCTGATTTGTGTTTATGAACCGCAAAAGCTACATGGATATGGAGTCGATGTGATTGGAGTGGCACTGTAATCAGTGCGGGGAAGCTAATTTCAGAGCGAAATCACTTTCAAATAATGAACTTAGTAGAGAACTACTTGCCCTGGCCAAAGAAACACGAAATGAGGTGACCCCAATCCAGCCTTTTGTACATAGATTTATAAAAACCTTAAGATATGTAAAAGAGGGGTAATTTCTTTGGTTTGTTAAGGTGGCAAGAAGAGTTTATTATGTTTTTAAATAATTAGGATGGTCAAACTATTGATATTTGAGAACCTTTTTTATCTAAGAGTATTTTTTTTTAAGTTTTACTCAAAACAACTAAAATTATTAAAGTCCTTGGAGTAGTTAAAAAAATCATAAGGCTGGTT